CTTCATAAACAGTGTGTCTCCCAGGCTTCTCCATTATTTTTCTCTTTGTAATTAAAAAGTTTATTATGAATATCTTCATCCTCTCCTCATCAAACGTTCACTTCATTTATTTGTATCAGGATAGACTCATGATTTCCTATTTTATTTATTATTATGTAATGTCTTTCTATCATTATTGTTGTGAGGCACAAATTGTCACAGATTTTGTCAGCAGGAGCCCCTCCACACTGACAATTGTGTCTTGTTGATATGTCCTGGTCATATGATGAGCAATGCCCTCTTTTCTAGCACAACAAGGTATTTCCCAGCCCCAGCCCTGGAATCAGACATTTCTTCAGGGAGCCCTGGTTCCTTTTAGTGGAGAAGGGCACTTAGAAACCAAGATCTGGGCACTAAGTGTGCCCATTATAATTGGGGTGTCTCTGCTTCTGGGCCCCCTCAGGGGCTGGAGCTGGAGAATATCTATATAATGTATGTATAATATATACCCATAGGTATGTACATACATACATTTGTATTTTTATTACTTTTATCTATCTCCATGATTTCACACAGTTACATCAAATTCCAATTTGACACCATAGGGTTCATTCTTATTTTCTCCCTATCCATATTTGTAACTCTCTTCTCTGATAGCAATAAGCTTGGTTCCCTTTATATATTTACTTGCTTCATCAGTCTTTATCTGTTCCCCAGTATGTTACTAGTCTCCTTGTGCTATAGCCCCCTTCCTCTGTGGCTGTCTTCCTCACCGCATTTGGACCCTGACGTCTTAGGCAGGGCTGCCCCTGCCACCATCTCCTACCAAAGATATCCATCTCAACTTCGTGGACTCTGGCCAAGCCCTGCTGCTCCCTTGGACTCTGACCTCCCACACCGGACTGCCTTCCAGATGCTCTTTTTACTCCTCTTAGGTTCCAACACCAGTCTACTCAACCTCTTTCTCCTAACATAGATGCTTTCTTTACCTGGTGCCTGGCCTTACCCCTACTTAAATACCCTCCTTACCTGTTTTGAGTTCTGACACTCCATGCCGGGCTACCTCCTGTGTGGGCTCCCTCCTTATCTGCTGGAGGCCTGACTTTTCTTTACCAGGGAACCCTCCTCACCCATCTCGGGCTCCAACACCCTGGGCCATGTTTCCCCTACAGGAAGATGTCCTCCTCTCCATTCTTGAGCTCTGACATCCTACTCAACTATTCTTCCAGTTGGCTACCTTCCTTGACTTAGTCAGCCTCTGTCACCATTGTGCCCTATCACACACATACACATCTACCTTGCTTGGGCTCATCCCACGGCTTCGAACTGAACTATTAGTAAGAGAAGTGGGAGAGCTTTTTAAAATCTATAATGGTTTTCTACGTTAATACTTATGACACTGGAGTGGAATCTCATCATACACATACTTGAACAAGATCGCTCATACATATGTGTACACACACACACACACACACAATAGTGGAATGATTATCCTGACAGTCCAATCAGTGGAGTGAGATTAGAAAAGTGTCCTCAATTGGCCTCTATTCCTGAGCTCAGCTGGAGGATTAGCAGCTCACCAAGGTGATAGATTTAAACATAGTTTTCATTCAATATGTCCCCCAAACTCAGGCCAACTACTTCATGTTTACATAAATCATGTCTTCTATATATTGGGGGCAATTTAAGGGCTTTTTAAGGTGACTGACTGTGGGTCATTTGACTATATGCCCTGCACATCTTACAAGGCCCTGTGAAGACCGTGTCAGTGAGGCTGAGTGTAGGAATACTTGGATGCTGTGTGAGCACTTTGCAAGTTTAAGACTTTGTATTGCCTCACACAAAACAAAAACCTCTCTATTTGACTGTCAGGCCAGGGCGTGAGGGCAGAGTTGGGGACAAATTACTTTAGCCACAATTTGATGAGAGAAACTTGGTTCAAGACCAGTGCCTGGAAACCAACTTGTCCCATTTTGGCTTTTCCCCACCAAGGCTCTGCTGATTGGGTCATGATAATGCTCCATCTATAGATTGTTCCAAAAGTCTAAGCTATATAAAACACTTGGGAAAGAGTTCTAGCTCCCCCCACCCAAACTATTGCTCTTTGTTGTATAGATCTCTCTTTCCCACCAGGACCATGACCTTCTTGAATGAAGGGACCCTTTGTTATTTGTCTTTTTGGCCCGAGCCTTAGACTGAGCCCACTACACAGTGATGCTCTGCCATTGAGGATGTGAGCAGTTGTATAAAGGTAGCAAGTGCAGCAGGCTCAGCCATGTTGGGAACTCCTTCAGATGTCCAGGGAGGAGCTGGGTAATGGAGCGTTTGTTTCCTGTCTCTAGATGGGGAAGCAGTGTTTACTCCATGATGACAGACAAGCACAAAATGGAGTGGAGGGTCTCCATATCCTCACCTGCAACCTCGCAGGCAGCGCGAAGCTGTTGTGCCAGCACTAATGAAGCAGTACAGGAAACGCCACTGGATAAAGTTCAGCTGTGAACCCTGGCCTCGCAACAGGGGAAACGAGGGATCCTTTGAAGAAGAAGACAGCTGGGTTTTGGTTTCAAGACCTTAACACTGCCATCACTAGATATTCATCTGTCAGTGCACAGGGGACAACATGTGGGGAACAGTTGTGTCTGGTCAGGCCGAAGGGAGAACGAAATGGCTGATTTCCAGGGTAACTACAGAACCTCCTCTGGCTGAGGGTTTTGCTTAGCGTAGCCAAAAAGAATCGATTTGGTGAGATTGAGGCTGAGTGTGAGAACCTGGGTGCTGTCTGCTAGGGGCCAGGTGGTCCTATCATGTCACCTTCCTGCATCCTCACAGAAGGGGAGGACGCAGAGGCTCGAGGTTCCGGGCCCTGCTATGTTGGTCACTTGAACCTAGTGGCCAAAACTGCTTCTGTGTATATACCACAGTCCTAAATAATCAGAATCCAGCCTGCCCCAGCTCACTTCGTGAAGTATTCCTAAAGTGACTTTAGCTCGTCGCTCATTTACTTGAGGCCATGGTTTCCTTACAAGAAAATATTTTCTCCTCTTGCATTTTTTCCCCTCACTTTCCGGACTTTCAATTGCTGGATTTAACTAGTGGTATTTTTTCTTTCAGGAAAAAAAATCTTTGTAATCCTTGGTTGAATTTGTTTACTAAGAGTCCTCTAATCTGGGCAAGAGTTTTCTTCTGAGGGGATTTATTGTTCCAACTATAATGGCTTTTAACTCTGCCGAGGTTTATTTAACAGAATAGGAAGGGAGAAACTTATCTCCTCCCTAATCCCTCTTGAATGTTTACATTGCTCTGCCAAAGTAAATGCCGTGTAAAGTGGCAGCAGTCATTTGCTCTGTAATAGTCAATATGCAGCTGCCAGAGCTGATTGAAACATATTAACATAAGTGATAATGCTGTCATAGAAGTGAAAAGTTAAGTTGCTTATCAGTATATTTTGATAAGCTACTTAAATTTTACAGTAGCATGTGCTGGCTTCAGACAGACGTAATGATAGAGAGCTGTGCACTTTATCTGTCCTCTCTATTGCCTCTCACTTCATTTATTACCCTCCGCAGTACAGCTGGTAATCTGTACAGGGTGCTGATTTCCCTCTGCCTGGCGGGAGGGAGTCGTACAGCATCAGCACTCCACTTTGTGTCCGGCTCTATCACTAGCGGACACTTAGCTCAGCAGGGCGGAAGTGAGCGGGACGGCAGGCACTTGGTACGACACTCTTCTCCAGGACTATTTGATGTCTCTTTGGAAAAGTTTCCTATGGAGAACAAAGCCATTTAAATTAAGTGACAAAACTTCTCAGGAGTGGGGATGTATTTTAACAATTCTCTAGCACTAATGTGCCTTTGCTCTTAGTCTTTGTTTCGTTCCGTTTGTTCAGTCAACACTGAACTCTGAGGGCATGCCAGGCTCTGAGCTTGGCCCTGGGCAAACAAAGTGAGGAAAGACGTGGTCCTTCCTCTCTGTTTGCGGACAGTCAGTTGGAAAGACTGACATGCTATTGAGTGCCACGTGGTGTGTGGAATGTTATAACAGGAGTATACTGTGACCAGGGCAGCACAGAGAGGAGGGAATTAGGGCGTGAGAGGCTGGGACAGGGAAAGGATAGGGGACTGTTAGGAGGATGAGTAGAAATCAGCTAGACTAGACCATGAAGGTCACAGAGAGAAAAGGGCCAAGTGTTTGCAGGCTCAGGCAGGCTTGAGGATGCCTGGACATTCTCAGAGTGAGGCTGCAATGAGAGGAGTGTGTATGTGGGTAAGTAGAGAGAAGACAGTCACGGACCACACAGTGAAGAGCCCCAAACACCATCCTAAGAAGTCCTCTAGTGATGGGGCACCATTGCAGGAATTTAATCCAATGTGCTACTTAGATTTGCATTTTGTAAGACCATTCTAAGAGCCGCACAGAGGGCAGAGTAAGGTCAGGACCAGCTGCTGCAGGACTTAAGGGGTGTGATGGTCAGGACCCAGTGGAGGGCAGTAGGGATGGAGAATAAGAGCTCATCCTGTAATAAGTATAGAGAGGGTTCATTTTAGGTAGAATGTTTGATGTAACAGTATGAGTGCTTTCGGCTCATGGGGCCTTTGAGACACCTTGCAGATGGCAGCAGTGAGGTGCTATATGTGCGTGTGGCTGTGTGTGTCCAATCATGAGAAACTTGAATAGAAGCTTTCCTGGAAAGAGTAGGTGTGGTGGGAGAGGCCTCGGGGGCTATTCAGAGACGGTTCCTGATTGCAGAGTCTGCTTTGAATTTCTTCTCTATGAGCCTGTTCTAGCTCTGAGGCATGGGAATAATTTATAATGGATATTCAGTCCTTTGCCTCACCCAGGCAATTTTTTAAAATCCTAGAAATAATTAGCATTTTACTAGTCTGTGTTTCCAGCATAGCCTATGACCGGGAGACTCTTCAGGATATAGAGAAAAACTGAAATGTACCAGTCTTGAATTAGCTCCTGGTTAAATTTTTTGACATGCATACTAATATTTCATATGTTTCCTCTTCTTCCCCCAGCTATCTCCCCTGGTTCGAAGTATTTTATAAGCTACTTAACATCTTGGCAGATTACACGACAAAAGGACAGGTATTTGCCTTTTATTTTATTCTTTTTAACAAGTCAACTTTAATTTTTATGATTATGAAAGTAATACATGCCTTATATTTCATCAAAACATTTACCAAAAAAGTAATGCATACCTATTATAGAAAGTTTGGAAAATTCAGAAAATAGTAGGAAGAGGGAGAAAAATCACTCCTGATAAGTCCCCCCCCTCCCTAAAATAAGTATTTCTAGCATTTGGAGATGTTTTCTTCCTTTACTTTTTGAGTTAAATAAAAAATAGACCTTTAGCATTCAGAGAGTTAATATTCACAATACCTAATATTCCCAAGCAGGCCTCCAAGTTCATGACATGTATTAAATTATGATTTTGCTGAGGCACAAGTTTGAATTGTTCATGTCATACGGCAAAGCTGGAATTTGTGAGTAACACACTTAACTGGCAAGTGACCTAGCCAGCTGTCCCGAGTCCCGTTTCACTAAGGCTTTGTTGTGCTTTCACAGTGACTTTTTTTAAGGGTTTGAGAACTACTTAAAAAGTTCAGCTATACCTTCCTGTACTTTGGAAGAAATGATATGCTGAAGTATCTTCCATGGATGTCAAGGGTCAAGTGGAGCTATAGCTAGACTTTTGTAGCCCACATTTTTCAGGTGCCATAGTAACAGAAGCATTTCTCTCATGCTGGTAAAAATGTTGTAAATATTTTTCATGGCTGCATAGCATTGTGTCATGTACTTTGATTTGCTGAAATGTTTCTCTATTGTTGGGAATTTTTATTATTTGAAGTTTTTCCACTGTTGTAAATACAGCCATTAGCATCTTTGCACATAAAGCATTTTCTTCATTTAGGGTCGTTTCCTTAAGAGGAGCATTTTAAAGTCAAACATTTTTAAAACATTTACCAAATTGCTTTGCAAAAGAATTGTACTGTTTTCTTAAAAGATACCCTTTACTAGCAATGTACAAGAGTGTCTTGGTCTCCATACTCTCACCAGTATCATTTGTTGAATTCATTCTTTATTTGACAAGTGAACAAGTCTCATTGTTTTAATTGCATTTCTTTGATTATTGATGAGTTGAACATTTGTCCATATATCTAACTTCTTACATTTTCTCTTTTTGTAAAAGGCCTAAGATTTTTAGTTAAAGTGATACATTATTATGAAATGTTAGAGAAATTGTTCCCCTGATGTTTTCTGTAGAACAATAGTACTGAGAAATGCGCCATTAAGAAGGGTACCACAGTTCAGTAATATTGGGGTTGGGGAGAGGGAAAACTGTTTTTTGTTTGGATCTCCTTAAGAGTCGCGTAATGTATGCTCTGAGGAATCCTGCAGTGACAAATCTGTGTTACTTGGGGTTTCCCATCTCATTTGGCCCCCAAATCCTTTTTATTCCATACCAGATATTAACATTCTGAGATACCAGCGTTTCCTGGAACACACTTTGGAAAATGCTGTTTTGGAGAAAAGGTGGAAATTGTGTGTATAATGGATAAATCTTTCCTTCAAGTTAGATTTACTCACCAGCCAATGTATTCCAGAGGCCACAGTAAATGGAAAGAATAACTAATAGAAATGGCTCCCTAGATCACTATGTTCACCCTGAAAGGATGCTTAGGTATCAGGGCATTCTGTCATAAAAGAAATGATTTACTCTTTGATGAATGAGTTAGAAGGCCACCGTGGGACTGTTCGTCGATTTCTGATTCACAGTTCACATTAGTCAAACATTCAGGTTTTCACTCAGATTTGAAGGATGTCATTAGTAAATAAAATTCTATAACATGCAGACTCTTAACAGTCTTAGAACTGGAGATTGACTCACATATTTTTTCTTGACATATTTTTCCTTCCATTTTATCCTCCAGTCAGTTTAAAAAGAAAACAAACTTAGTTAACTTTTAAAAACATGTCTTGTCATAGAGGAAAGGCTGGATAGGTACAACCTACAAGTAGGGGAGACAGGATTATTACCCTGTAAAATTGATGTACCAATCCTCTGGACCGTTGCCCCAGTAAGGACCCTGCCTCTCAGAGTGTTGGACACTGAGATCAGTCATGTGTTTTAGTGGAGTCTGGTTCCTTGTACCCAGGACTTTTTTTTATTAAATTTCTTCTAGCTAAAGGAATTATGACACAGATTGTAGGGTATCTACCTACAACTGCTCAATTATTTGCAAGGGATGGGTCATCAGATTCGAACAGGAGGAAAGAGCTATTATTAAAAGAAACAGAACCCCCTCCCAAAGTCCAAAAGTTGTGGGGAAGGTTGGACATGGCAGGCTTCAATTAGAGGGGTGGGGAGTGACCGTGACAACTCAGCATGGAGTATCAGAGCCTAAGCTACATGATGAGGGTGTCTGTTTGAGTCTTTGACCCAGCATGGTTGTCACACCCTGAATGGGGCAATGAGGGCATCATCCCTGTGGAAGGGATGGCAGGGATGAGAAGGGCATCTGAGCCAGGGAGCAGCCTGGCTGAGGGTGTCAGAGCCTGAGAGACAAGGTGGTTGTTTATGTGGGACGGTGGTGGAAGTGGCTCAGCACTTGATGTCAGAAGTTTACTGGGATCTAGAGGGATCCACAATGGGAAAGAGGGAAGCAGCAGTGGCCCAACATTGGAGTGTTGGAGCCTGGGGAGGGGAGGGCATTTTTTGTTGAAGGAGGTAGACAGTGGTGGCCCAGCACGGGATGTCAATGTTGGATCAGGGCAAGGAGGGCATCTAGGTGGAAAGGGAGGTAGGGACAGTGATAAAAGATTGGTTACATACAAATAAGTAAAGGTTTATTTTTCACTTTTGTAGAATTAACTACAAATATGTAAAGGGAGGAAACTAGACTGATTCCTATGCTGGAATGGGATTAGAGCCATTGGTATGAATCATGGCTTTCAGTAGATGTGATATAGAAATGAATAGAGATGTAAATGTGTATAGTGGGTCTCTGTATGTAATACATCCCCTGGCTCTAGCCACTGAAAGGGTGTTGGATCAGCAATACCCAAGTAGCAGTGAGGACACTTAGCGCCCAAATCCTGGTTTCTAAAACCTGTTTTCCACTAAAAGGAGCCTGAAGAAATATCTAATTCCAGGGCTGGGGCAGGGAAAGTATAAGATAAACCTGGAAAATCTTTTTGAGCCAAAAATTAAGGAAGTGCTCAAGACATGAGGAGGACATGTCAGAAAGACACAAAGATGAGCTTGAAGGGGCAAAGGGTTCCCACTGGTCACATCTGGGACTATTTGAGCATCAAAACAAATAATGATAGCAAAGGATTACAATCCATTGAATAAAACAGGAAACCATGTGTCCATACTGATCTAAATAAGTACATAGATAAATTAAAAGTTTCGTGAGGAATGGGATATTTATATAAAATATTGCTCCACAAAATGCTTATGAAACACAAAAGGAAAAATGAGTAACCTCACAGGAGACATCTGATGAATTAATCAAATGATCAAAGTGAACATCATCAGCAGTGGGACTAACTGAAATCTAAATTGATAGAAATCATCAGACAATTGAGATTTTACTCTACAAAATGGCTGGTCTCATTGTCAAATTCATACAAATCTAGGAAACACTCAAGAACTTTCCAAACTGATGAAGACTACAGAGTCATAATAATTAAAGGCAACATGTGAGTCTGAACTGAATTATTTTGCTATCAAGGACATTATTGGCACAATTGACAAAACTTTATGGGATCTGAGGATTAGATGACAGTGTGGTATCAATGTTAATTTCCTGATTTTGGTGACTAATTGTGATTATGTGGGAGAATGTCTTTTGTATTTATGGATGATGGGGCATAATGCGGGCAACTCACTCTCAAATAGTTTAGGAACTAAAAAGTTTTTGTACTGTCCTACAATTATTCGGTAAATTTGAGATTGTTTCAGAGCAAAATTAAACATGCATGTGTGTGCACATGTTCATTTCTCTCCTCTGTGAGAAACTTGAGTATCAGAGTTCAGATTGAAACAGACTTTTAATGTGGGCTCATCCTCTTTTTCCTCTCCTTAAATTCACTACCAAAGACAGCTACAGAGCAGCAGAGAGGGCTCTGTGCCTGATCACAGAAAACCTGCATTTAGTTCCTGGCTGTGCAACTTACTAACTAGCTGATTTGAGCCAAGTTGCTTCACCCTTCAGAGCCTCAGTTTTCAATCTGTAAAGTAGGGTAGTTTTGAAGATCAAACAGATAACAATTAGATACAAATGTAAGCTTATTCCTATTATATTAGCACAGAGAATTCCAGAGGGTGGGAGAAATGGCTTTTGAATAATTCTGTAAGCAATGTTCTTTTGAGCACTTTAAAGGTGAATCTGTTTTCAATTGAGTAATTTGTACTGCTTTGTATTTCACTCTGTGGCTCAATTTCACTAATTAAAATGCACAGCCGCCATCCTATATTGCATGCTATTGTACGTGGTTCATTTTTAACTTTCCATAATTGGAGGCTGCGGTGTGTATCCAGTGAACACTCAATAAAATTAATTGTGGATAATGATGATGAAGACAAGATCTATAGTGTCATCGTTATTTCTCCCAACCACCCCCGCTCTGTAAGCTAGGATTGTTTGCTTTTAAAAGTTGTTGCTATGGAGTTGAGAGAATAGATGTGCTGAGAGCTTATGGTATATGATCCATAAAAGGCGGTCATGGTAGGTGTCTCACTGAGTAGAAAATGTCAAATTTGGTGTGGGAGGATCTATTTGGCTCTTATATTGAGCCATAAGCAGTGTCTTTTGTCCGACACTGCTTGAGTATCAAACCTGTTTCTGTGCTGGGGCCAGCATCTCCCTAGCCCCCTCAGGCCTGAGGGCCCCCAGCTCACTGTGTATGCAGGTCTCTGCCTAAGGGCTCAGCGTTGCTTTTGTTACTTAGGCCTTTTATTTCTTTCAGGAGAGTCAGTGGAATGAGCTTCTTGAAACTCTGCATAAACTTCCTATCCCTGACCCAGGAGTGTCTGTTCATCTCAGCGTGGTAAGTCGGGGCAGAATATTAGCAATCACTGAGAAATCATTTTGTTGATAACAGTAAGAAGGAGTTAGCCAAAGAGAATCAATCATCTTTTGTCGTCTGCACCTTCCCCACCTCTACCCCCTAATACTCTGAAACCTCTGGGCTCAAGACAGGCGAGGGAGTGGAATTTCTTCCTTTCTTTGGTATTCCATAAGGAATGGGTCCCAAATGTCCTCAGGCACCTCTCTTCCTGGCTGTCATCCCATCATTAGCATCTACTGGATGGCAGATGCTGGGTTTGGAATGAGACGGCTGGCCTCTGCCTCCCCTCTCAGCCCCTGTCCCCGGGCTCCCTAACTCATACTTTACCCCCCAGCACTGCTGTGTGTGCCCTTTTGCTGGAGCCCATCCTGTCGCCCCCTACACCTTCAACACTGCCTCTCCTCTGTTTACCAGGATAACTCATATTCATCCTTCAGAACTAAACTCAGATTTTATTTCCAGAGAAATTTTCTCCTTGACACCCACCAAGCTTAACTGAGATTTTCTACCTTGCCCCAACCGTCTTGTACACTTTTACACATCTTAGTAACACCACATTCGACCAGTCTGTTTTCCCATCTCCCCCACTGGACTGTATGCCCCTGGAGGACAGGGATGGAGAGTGCTTAGCATGGTCCCTGGCCTACAGTAATAATTGCTCCTTTGAACTCCTTTAAATACAAACTATATGTTCTGTAGTGTGCTAGGGTGAAAAATCCTCTGAATTGCAAATTGGGAGATTTCAATCCTGGTTGTAGTTTTCCCGCTGACCTGAGTGATGATTATCAAAACCTTTAACTTCCTGGGCTTCAATTTCCTCATCTATCACATAAGGCATCAGAATAGGGGATCTTTTCCACATTTCGATTACAAGAATTGTCTAATTCCCTGGGTCAAACCCCTGTTGCCACCTTCATCAGAATACTCTAATGGATACCCTTTGGCTGGCTATTGATTATCTAGGGGCTATTTCCCCAATGTTGTGTGGTCTGAACATTTAAAGAGTTTTGTCTTCAGCTTCACTAGAACCAGGTTCAGTGTTAATATTCAGTGGTGACCTTGATATTTACCCTCTTAAAGAAAATGAATATTTCTTGTAAGTTTTTTTGTGATGATCAAATTAGAAGCAATTTTAGTACCAATAACTTATAATAGATCTACTATTTATTAAGTTCCTAATTTATGCCAAGTATGTGTCTCTAATGTTCAAAGCAATTCTACAAGATATATATTACCATTCTCATCTCATAGATGATGTTTAGAGAGGAAAAGTTACTTGCCTATCCAAGGTTGTGTGGTTAATAAGTGAGAAGATTGGGGTTTTCAAACCGAGGGATAACTTCAAAGATGACGTTCTTTCCACTAGGCCATGAGTATTGAAAGAAAGAGAAGAAAGAAATTGCTTAAGGAAGAAATTGCTTCCTTAAAATTCCAAAAATTTGCTTATGGAAGATTGTCTGGAAAAGATGAAAAAATGAGCTTTAAACCTGCCCAGTCATTGCCATATAGCTAGGCAACCTTGCCTTTGTCTCTGTCCCAAGCAGCTTAATCTCTCCGCTTCAGTCTGTAATGACATCCGACAGGTAGCTGTGGAGTAGCCTGACTGGGTCACCAGCTGCTGGGGAGGAAGGGCCACTCCTTCCCCTGAGTGCCTGCCAGCCCTCAAGGACAAGCAATCACAGGGGCAGGAGGACCTGTTGAGGGAGTGCAGCTGTTTCATGCCAGTGGTTTCTAGGAATGTTTCTGACCTCCTCTGGTCTCAGCGTTTCATGGGCAATGGAGCAAGACAGAATCTCAAAGGACAGCCCGGGGACTACTTGGTTTTGGAATTGCATTGGCTCACTATTTACAATCCATTGCATCTGTAAAGGCAGATATATTTTCCTTTCCTGTTCATGAGGAAGTCCTCTCACCATGTTGCATTTCTGATTTTGAAGAGCTAGTCTTATCTGGATTATAAGGCCTGAAATGTTGATAAAATGGCAATGCTGGACTTTTTGTCTTTGGTCACAAGGGAATATTTCTGTGTAGCTGATATAGGTGATTGTGAAAAAATGAAATGTATACTAGCAGTGTAGAGCAATAATAATTTTCTATTGAAATACCATTTATGGAATGCTAGGCACTTCACCTATATAGTCATGCATCACTTAATGACAGGGATACATTCTGAGAAATATGTCATTAGGCAATTTCATCCTTGCGCAAACACCATAGAGTTTACTTTCAGAAACCTGAATGGTACAGCCTGCTACATACCTAGGCTATATGGTACCGATCTTATGGGATCATTTATGTGGTCCATCGTTGACCGAAACATCGTTGTGCAGCACATGACTGTATAGCATTTATTCTTCACAACAGTTCTGAAGTAGATGTTAGTTACACTTCCCATTTACAGATTCAAAAACTGAGGTTCTGAGCTACAAAGTGAAGTTGCCTAAAATCGCATAAGTATTAAGTGGCTGCCTCTCTGGTCCCTGTTCTTTCTCCCTTACTGTGCCAACCATTACTTTGTGAAACATCCATTACCAAACATTTCCTGGGACTCCCCTTTAGCCATTTGGTATAGAAATTAGTATCTTATGGTGTCAAATTTAACCTTATATTTTACTTTTACTATTTTAATCCTCATTGTTAAATTGAACTAATTATTAACTAGTTTCCATGCGACATAGTCTCTATTTTAATACTTACTAGGTAATACTTTGGCACAGACACAGATTTTGGAATAATGCATTGCAGAAGGTTTTGTTAAAAGTTACCTTTATATTTATATACATGTGTATATATATATTTTCTTGTTGTTGTTGAGGAAGACTGGCCCTGAGCTATCATTTATTGCCAATCTTCCTCTTTTTGCTTGAGGAAGATTGTTGCTGAGTTAACATCCGTGGCAGTCTTCCTCTATTTTGTATGTGGGATGCCACCACGGCGTGGCTTGATGAGCGGTATGTAGGTCTGCACCTGGGGTCTGAACCTGCAAACCCTGGGCCACTGAAGTGGAGCATGCAAACTTAACGACTACACCACTGGGCCAGCCCTGTAATTTTGTTTTTTACTTTTTTTTTTTTTTTGAGGAAGATTAGCCCTGAACTAACATCTGCCACCAATCCTCCTCTTTTTGCTAAGGAAGACTAGCCCTGAACTAACATCTGTGACCATCTTCCTCTACTTTATATGTGGGATGCCTGCCACAGCATGGCTTGACAAGTGGTGCCATGTCTGCCCCCAGGATCTGAACGGGCGAACCCCAGGCTGCCGAAGTGGAACGTGTGAACTTAACCGCTGTGCCACTGGGCTGGCCTGGTTTTTACTTTTTAGTTTATTATTTTAATACAAGTGGCTTTAGCTATAATTTTCCCATAAAAAGCATAGATATAGCAGTCTGTTATAACGGAAAGAGCATAGCTCTAGTTAGCCAAACCTGGTTTCAATCCTAGTTCTGTTATCTGTTAGTTGTGTGACCTTAACAAGTTACTTTACCTCTCTAAGCCTTAATTTACCCGCTTGTAATCTGGAGATAATATTTATCTTAAAATATGTTATGGAATTTAGAGATAATAGTTACAAAGTACCTGGCATAAAGCCTTCAGTGTAGCAAGTGTTCAGTAAATATCTGTTGAGTATTAGCCATATAGCTCATCTATTATTGTTGTTATCGTCATTATTGCATTTGTTCCCTGGGCCTTTCATTTAAGGAAACCTATGCAACTCATTTTTCTAGACAGCTACTTATTTTGCAGTTGTCCAAGAATGGGAGTGGGGTGCTTCCTGAAATGTCACTTGGGGTCCAGGTTTGAACTTAGGCCATGGCTCAGCTGACCTTCTCTGCATGTGACCTTTCCTGGCCTTTGCACAACCTCATCTTTAATTGGCCAGCACCAGGCTCTTTCCATTCCTGCTTGCCATTGTTCTCTGAGTCTTTTGTAGCACAGAGGAGGTGTTATCAGTTCATCCTGCTCTCATTTAACTCAGGGGCACATACTTATTACATACCTGAAGATGCCCTCTTAAAAGTTCTTTGAATAGGGCAGGTTTTCAACTCCAGTGAGTCTTGGTTCCTTTCACTGGAGATGGCGCTGGAAGTCTGGGGCCTATTTGCAGAGCCTGCATAGCAGAGAGAGTTTCTCCACTGTTAGCCATCTGTGCTGGCCTCGGTGCAGCAGTCCTTCAGCTAGAATTGTCCTTAACATCACTTGGGCCTTTGGAGCAGATTTCGCCTGCAGCTTGTAGGCGTATAGAATCTCAGACGCTGAAATGAAATGGCAGGTTTTGTTGGTTAAGACCATTGCTGAGTGAACCTAGAGATATTTGGTCCCTAGCGTCCACTTGCCTCATTGAACAATAAATTATGAAGCCTGCAGCTTTCATGTGATCAGAAACCTGCAAATGTTGTATGGGAATTTAGCCTTTACCCTCTTTGAGCTGTTCATTTATATCTCCCAAAGAAGTTTCTCTCTCATAGAAAAGAATTCCATCAACTGAACTGATGATTTAATGCATCTGACTTCAATCCAACATTAACCAAAGAAAATATTCCATAGACATTTCCTATGAGTAAAACCCTGTTTCCTCATCTGAGTAAGGAATTATCTTTAGATCATTTACCTGATTTCTGAATAATGTGCTTGTTGCATATTTTTGCAAAAATAAATAGCTTTTGCCTTTCTTTTCCAGCATTCTTATTTTACTGTGCCTGATACCAGAGAACTTCCCAGCATACCTGAGAATGTGAGTACTTGGAGCAAAAGAAACAAATTTTTACTTTTATTTGTTTTTCACTTGTTTTAAAATAAAATAAAAAAGATGTCTTTTTCCCATTATAAAAATAATGCATTTTAAAAGCAAAATTAAATAGAAAATATTTGAAAAGTATAGAAAGTATAAAGACAAGGAGGGATCATTATTCATACTTCTTAAAGGTAATTACCTATTAACATGTTGATGCCTCATTCTAGTCATTTTAGAATGTATTTTTTACATCTTAAAATCACCTGTTACATCAGCATTTTTCCATTTCATTCATAAGAATTATTTTGTTGGCTGCATAATATTCCATTTGCTATGTAGTTTACTTAGCTATTCGCTCACTATTGTGTATTTAGGTGCTTTTTAGTTTTTGCTATTGTAAATAAAATGTTTCTGTATAAGAACTTTCCATAGAAAGATTTCTTTATTAGGGTAGATTTACTCAAGTAGAATTATACTTCTACAGATCTTCCTTGACTTATGATGGAGTTGCATCCCGATAAATCCATCCTAAATTGAAAATATCATAAGTCGAAAATGCACTTAATGCACCCTAACTTACTGAGCGTCATAGCTTAGCCCAGCCTACCTTAGCCACGCCCAGAACACTTCCCTTAGTCTGCAGTTGGGCAAAATTATCTAACACAAAGCCCTTTTTATAGTAATGTGTTGAATATCTCATGTAATTTTTTGAATACTATACTGAAAGTGGAAAACAGTGGGTGGATAGGTACAGAACGGTTGTCAGCATATTGGTTGTTTACCTTCGTGATCACATGGCTGACTGGGAGCTGCGGCTCGCTGCCACTGCCCAGTATCATAAAAAAGGATTGTACCGCATATTGCTAGCTCAGGAAAAGATCAAAATTCACAATTCAAAGTATGGTTTCTACGGAACGCATGTAGCTTTCGCACCATTGTAAAGCTGAAAAATTGTAATTTGAACCATTGTAAGTCGGGGACCATCTATACGATATTTCTGTATTCACTTTTGTGTGTGATGAAGATTGGCCCTGAGCTAGCATCCATTGCCAATCTTCCTCTTTTTGCTTGAGGAAGATTATCGCTAAGCTAACATCTGTGCCAATCTTCCTCTACGTTATGTGAGATGCTGCCACAGCATGACTTGACAAGTGGTGATAGGTCTGCACCCAGGATCTGAACCGGCAAACCCCAGGCCACTGAAGTAGAGTATGTGAACTTATCCACTATGCCACCAGGCCGGCACCTACATTTCTATATTCACTTTTCTTTTTCTATTTTTTTTCTATATTCACTTTTAAGGGAGTAAAAGAAAGTGTTTGTGGGTGTAAGTGTGAGGACCTCCACCCTCGTCTCTTAAAGACTTAGGAGCAATGAACTTGAGTCTGAGGGAGCAGAGGTTAACATTTGCCCTCTGAACAAGCTAAATGACATATCTAGCCTAGCCTTAAGACACATTTTCAAAATGTTTTACTCAAATTATAAATAGTGATAGAATTAAATGGAGAATCAGCACCACTCAGGCTCTTGATTGCTTTTTTTTTTTTTTTTTTGATGAGGAAGATTGACTCTGAGCTAACATCTGTTGCCAATCCTCCTCTTTTTGCTTGAGGAAGATTGTCCCTGAGCTAACATCTGTAGCAATCTTCCTCTGTTTTGTAGTTGGGACACCACCACAACATGGCCTAATGAGAGGTGTGTAGGTCCATGTCTGGAACCTGAACCCTCGAACCCTGGGCTGCCAAAGTGGAGCGCACGAACTTAACTGCTACATGACTGGGCCGGCCCTGAAATACTCTTATTTTATTGGCACCCTTCCCCTAGCCTTCTGAGTTCTGAGTGTCTCTAATTCCTGAACCTTTTTGGTGTGAGTTAACTTGGTCCTTGCTGCCCTTTCCCAGGCCCCAGCTTTAGAGTTCAGCCTTTTCTGGGCTGCCAAGTCAGCCTCCTCTGGTTTCTTGACCTCAGTAGGCACCCTTGACAGCTTGGGCCAGATAATTTTTTGTTGTGTGTGACTGTCTTATATGTTGTGGGATGTTTAGCAGCATCCTGGGCTCTACCCTCTGCACTGATGTGCGGTATAACGATGTTTTGGTCAATGATGGACCCCATGTACCACAGTGGTCCTATAAGATTAGTACCATATAGCCTAGGTGTGTAGCAGGCTCTGTGATGTTCAAACAATGATGAAATCGCCTAATGATGCATTTCTTAGAACCTATCCCCATCATTAAGTGACTCGTGACTGTAGCTGATGATAGTCACCCCCCTCCAGCTGTGACAACCAAAAATATCTCCATGCATTGTCAAATGTCCCATGGAGACAAATGACCCAGGTTGAGAACCATTTCTTTAGTAACATCTGCTTTTTGACTTCCAAAAATTTGACATCTCTCTTTCATTGCTGTCTTTTCTCCTGTTCTTGGGGGTTTATGTCTTTTAAAATTCTTTTACTGTGACTTTTCTGGGTTGGGGGAGCATGGTATCAGGAGAAAGAAATAACAAATTTACGTATGTATTTAACCCACCATATTTTACTGGAAGTCTCCACAGCACTTTACCTGTGCTTCCCCTACTAAGAGACATTTAGATTGTTTCTAATGTTTTGCTATTATAAATAATAATAACAATTATTGCTTAGGTTAGGTTCATTTTTTAAATTTTTTTATTTTAAGGACTGAGAATTCCTTAAGAACTTCAATTTAAGGTACCTGAAAGTTCCGATAATTTCTTAATTTTCAAAACCATAATCACTGAGTTTAGAAATAGTTTAGGGAAAAAAACCCTGCCTTCTTTATAGCCCCAGCTCCAATTCCCATCTGCATGTTGTGCCAGCTCCCCTGCCCCTGCCATTTAAAAAAATTTGCATTCCCTCTGGTGGTTTTGCCACTGATGAACCATTTCCCTGTGTGACCCATTGTCCCCTAAATCCTCTTTTGCAAACCGGGAAAGGGCTCACCTTGTTTATTTCTAAGTGGGAATAATAAAAATCTGCCAGACTGCTAACATACATGGTTCCTTTTAAATCCTTATGGCTACTCTGTGAGAGGTAGACATGAGCCCCATTTTACATATAGGGACCCAAGGCTCACAGACCCACTATTACCAGTCCAAGGTCTGCTCCTAAAAGAGCCGTAGTGACTCAGGGTTTATAAAGAACCAAAACATTTTTTTTCCATTATGCCCTCCTGCCTCCCTATGGTCGACTTTTGATATTCATGAGGAAAAAGGAAAAGAAACGATTTTTCACATTACAAATATGAAATGAAACGGAAATACTTTTCCTCTAAGGAGAACCTGAACTTTTGTAGGACCAATTTGTGTGATTTTTGATATAGAATCACTATTGAGCTCTAGCTATGTTGAGGTTTGCATTTTAATCTCATGGTGATTTTTCAAGGATTAATTTAAAATGACTAAATCGCTGCATTGCAAATTGAAACAAGCAATAACCATGAGTTGTTAATACAATATAGTCTGCTGTAGTGGGGAGAGCATGCATTTTGGAGACAACCAAACCCTGGGCTCCATCACTGTGGGACGTCGGGCTACTTACTTATAGTCTCTGAGCCTCAGTATCCTTATCTAATAAAGAAAAATGGGAGAAGCAAATGAAGTATTAAATGTAAAGTTCCAAGTTCAATGCCTCGTGCAACAGAGATGCTGCTTTTGGTGGTCCTTTTCTTTCCCTTCTTCCCTCAGCTTTCCTAGAATTCTAGTCTTAACCCCTCTGAGGGCTGAGTTGTGGCTGAGGGCTAGGGTACATGACTTCTTGGAGCTTGTCTTTCTAGGTTTTTGCTGACATTCTTGGTTGTGAAGATCAGTACTTTTCTTTTCATGGAATGCCTATTTGGCCACAAAAGTCTCTTAGCAGGTGCCGTTGACATCAGAATTTCTGAAGCTTGGAAATAGTACAAGGAATGGAGTCCAGGACTCCAGTACCTGTAATATGGGAGGTGTTCTGTAAACATTTATTGATTATCTCCTCTAAGGGACATTCTGAACTTAAGAAACTAAGCAAAGGGTAAAAGGACTTTGGGATATGGAACTTGATTATGTCACCAGATATCATATTCTTCTGGACGGCTTCAGAGAAGGGTTAATGTAAGAAGGAGAGAAAGGAGCTGGTATTGATTGAACGCCCACTGTGGAGCAGGTCAGGCTCTATTTGTTCTATCATGAAAGCTTCACGGCAGCCTTATGGTGTGATTGTTATCCTGCTCTGAAGAGAAATGAAACCCAGAGATATGAAGTAACTTGCCCTAGTCACCCAGCCAGTAATGCCAAAACCAGGATTCATACTCGGTTCAATCTAATCCCACACTGAGATGCTGCTGCATCCTGGCCTCAGGCTCCATGTCTTCCTGTACCCTTCTGAAGAAATTAATTGTGTATTTGTATAATCTCATCTCTTCTTCCATAAGGACGACATTTTTTCATCACTATATCTCCGTAATTATCACAATACCTAGAACATAGTAGATGCTCAATATATATTTATGAAATGACTAACTGAATGAATGAATGAGCAATGCAGCCACCCCAGGAGAAGAAAAAATAAGTGTTCCTTTCACTTGACTTTTGGGCCGTGTATCTGCAAGACGTTAATAAAAAGCAAACATAGAAAATTAATTTTTTTCACTTTCAGATGCCTGTTAAAGTTAATTCTCATTATTTCTACAATTTCTTTGTAAAAATATTTTCTTCCTTTTCACTGAAAAACTATCAGTATGTAATTGCTCATCAGGGTTTTCTCAGTCTATCAAGATAACACATGTAGGAGTGAATTTTATACAGGCAATAATTAAATGAGCATAAATCTTTATAAATTTTAAACAGTTGACCTGCATTGAAAAAAAGTCACAGATCATGAACAGATATGTACTAATAATTACATTGTAAACTGGTGGTATAAGGGATTTTTTAGCGGCCAGGTTTTGAAGTTCACTTTTGATTAATGGATAATCATACAGACCTTTATTTGAAATATTAAGCAAACC